GCTGGGCCAGCCGGAGAGCCCCACCAAGTCCATCAGGACCGCTTCCGAGTAGCTGGGCACCAGCTGCTGGTTGGATCGGATGTGCCACTCCAGCTCTGTGCTGTCCACTGTGTTGACGCGGGGCATCCTCCGGCAGAAGGAGCGCTCCTCGGCCGGCGTCACCGCCACGTAGTCGAACCCAAAGAGTTTCTCCACGTGGTAATGGACGTAGGAGGTGCGGTACTCATTGAGCACCCGCAGGGGCCAGGATAGGGTCAGCAGAGCCGCCACCCAGAAGACATAGTGGGACACGTACCAAGGCAAGTTGTCTGGGTCGGAAAAGGCCACCATGTATTCCTTGAAGTCCACATTTTTGAGATGCATCCCCTCCCTGGCCTCCATGTAGTCATCTAGGCCCTCGTTCTCCGTGAAGAAACGGGCCCGTTGCGTCAGGTAGGAGTTCTCCGACTCCACGTTGGCAAAGCTGAAACACTTGGTGAAGCGGAGCCGTGTGGCTGGGTAGCTTTCCAAGTCAATGAGGTCCTTGGAGATGTCCTTAACTCCACAGTTGGAATAATCAAACTCAGCCTCTGCCACGTGGGTGTTGACCCGCTCGTGATACACCTGGGTGGTGGTGTAGGCGTCCCCGTTGCGGTAGCGGGTAACCTGCCGGGTCCGGCGGACGTAGTGGTAGCTGATGGCCTTCCACCAGATGCAGGGGGTCGCCTGCTGCATCCGCTGCACGCGCTCGTGCACGCTCTCCACGTCCACTTTGTACTGCAGCTCGTTGCGGGTGTAGCAGTGCCAGCACTCCACCAGGTACACCACGTAGAGCATCACCAGGAAGGCCAAGGGGATGTAGACGTAGCCGTTGGAACAAGGGCTGTCATGGTACATCATGGACTTGCCCTTGTAAGCGCTGTCAAAGGTCAGCCGGGTGACCTTGGTGACGTGGCACCAGGTCATAGCTCCCATGCAGCCGTACATGAGGAGGGACAGCAGCAGGCATTTCCAGTGGGACTCTCGGCACAGGGACTTGCTGAGAGACTGCTTCACTGGCCGCTGCTGCTCCGGGGGACCGGGAGAAGGGGAGAGAAAACAAGAGAGGAGTCAGTAGGCTGCTGCAGCAGGGGGAAGGAGAGCAGGGTGCCGTGGTGGCACCTGTAGCTCTGTGAACAGGGACAGAACAGCAGAAGCCGTAGGGCTCCTGCCTCAGCAGGCAGGCCAAAGGCTGGGATCTCTCCCAGGATGACAGTCCTACAGAGCGGACAGTTACCCCTCCTTCCCTTCGCTGTGCTCTGCCCCTCCTTGGGAGATGGCCAGAGCCCAGCTGGAGGTGTAGGAGAGCAGCAGACAGCAAATGGGCTGGTCTGCACCACAAGCATCCCCCTTCTTCAACAGGGTGTAGCCCCCACCCCTGCCATGTCCCAGGGAGGAGTATTGAAGCACAGCAAGTTGAAGACTGGGGGACCTCCCTCTCATCCCTCTGCTTCTGCACCCATCCCGCCAGCACAGGCAACCCAGCTAAGGGGTTGTCCCACCTCAACACTTCACCACAGCTCATCCCACGGCACCTCTCACCACTCGCACCAGTGTCTCCCTCTTTCCCAGTAACCACAAACAGCAACATTCAGATTTCTCCTACCAGGGCAGCAGAAGCAGCCTGGGGTGCCTGTATGGTGGAGATAGAGAGCTTCTGCAGCTGGAAAGGCCTGTGATTGGTAATGGCTCTTCCCACCACAACACTTGGCAGCCCAGAAGTGCTTCTCAAGTGCTTTATAAACCACAGAAATGAGAAAGTACTTTTCCACAACTGAAAGGCAGCCTCCTTTGGTGGGAGAGAAAGTAAATATGGAATAAGAACCTAAAACATGTTTAGGCTGGAATAAAGGAGCACTCCACTGCTCTGCAGCAGAGGGGAGGGTGAGCAGCAGGTCATGTCTGCCAGCAAATGTCCCTGATCGCACTGGGATTTGGGTGTGACAGTCCACACTTCTGGAAGAACTGCTCTCAGCTCTTTCATGGTGGGAAAAGGGCAAGACTTCAGCAATAGGACTTCCAAAAGATACTGCACTGGTGCCTTCACCACAGGAACTGTGCAGAGTTTCCCAAAGACTTGGGAAAATCTCCCACTTAAAGAAACCTCTGTCACTCTCTGCGACACACTAAAGTCTCAAGTATTGGTCCACCTCAATCAGTGACACCTGGCAGTACCACACTCATTGGAGAACATGCAAAGTGGGTATTTCCTTTCTTACACAAAAGACTTCGTCCAGCACAACTGCCATCCAATTTCCAAAGGTGCAACCTAAGAGACAGAAGCAAGAACTCAAGCCTTGTGCAGATGCCACTAAACTCACTAAGAGGCTTCCAGCTTTGCTCTCCCTCCCCAGCTCCACTCAGTGGCTCCTGAGCTCCCTTCTGCCATTTAGGGGCTAACACCAGCTGTAATGACACCACCCAGAGCAGTGAAGTCCAAGCCTGCCCCATCCCTCCTCCATTCCTGAGCACCCTGGGCTGCAGAGGTCTTTTATCCAGGGATTCCAAAGAGCTGAATGGGCTCATGCTGCTAGAAAACAAGGGAGTCCTTTCAGTCTTGCATTAAAAAGGGAAACTAAAGCAAGAACCTGAGATCATGAGATCGCTATGTCTCTGGCAGGTTTGGGACAGGTGTGGGCCTCTTCTTTCCCCTAAGAAACCCTCCCTGAAGAGCCCACCAGCCATGGCTTGGTCCCCTAGAGTCCCATGCTAATCTTCCCTCCCTATATCTTGCCAAAGCCTGGTCCACCCCATGCCACTGGGACTTCTGCCACTGCAATTAGCAGGGCTGGATCCGGCCCAAATCTCCAACAGAGGTTTCTCCCCTGGAGGCAGGGAGCTTCCCTTCCTGCCTGCCCAGCAGCCAGCCTGCCATGAGCAGAACAAGTGGCACATCCAGAAGCGTGGTGAGGGGAATGATGGCACATCCTATTGCGGGGCCAGGCATCAGTAGCACTGACCCTCTCTTTGAGGCAACCAGCTGGGAGCAAGAGCTGGCAACAGGGACACAGAGCCCAGGGAAGGCAGGCAGGGCAGCGTGGGTCTGCAGGCAGCAGAGACAGGCACGGGCAATCAACAGCTCCAGCATGGACACATGTACACCAGTCTTCCCAGTGTGATCCTCCACTGCACCAGCCTCACAGTCACAGGGCAAGAAGGGAATCCTGGGCAAGAGAAAAGGGAGTGAGGAGAGGAAGTGGGGGCACCAGCAGGCAGAGCTGTGTGAGTCAGGTCCACACTGGGATTACAGGAGCCTGCCCAGATCCTTCTGCCTTTGCTCAGCTGCAGCATGGCTCTCCCATGCAGGACTGCTGTGCCATTACCAATGAGGATGAAGGTATCCTCTCCCACAGCTGCCTTCTCCCTTGCAAATCCTGCCTGGCAGCAGCAGCCCTGGCTGTGAGGGTCTAAAGGGACTGCTCAGTCACAGGAGAAGCATGGGGATCTGAGCAGGAGATGCAAGGCACATGCTAAGCCTGGGGTATCTATGGGGTGAGAGGGCTTGCACAGAAACATGTCTTGTTTGGGGGGGGATCTGCAAACGGAGCACAAGGAATAAAGCAAAGCATTCAGCTCACTCTGACAAGTTGGGGAAGGGGCACCAGTGAGGCAGGTCTTCAGCCAGGTCTGTCTCGGAAAAGCAAATTCCACCTCCCAGTTGCTCCCCAGCCCCTGACATCCCCCACTGCCTGCGCCATCCTGCTCAGAAGGGGAATGCTGGCTGTTGCCCTGCGGAGATACAGGCAAACCCTGCTGTGGTTACCCACCCGGGGCAGGGCAGCTGGGAGTGTGATGCAGCCCAGGCTTGGTTCCAGGAACTGTGTTAGCAGGGCTCAAGTCCACGCATTAGTCTCCTCCTAGGACTACGCAGCATTTAGATACTGCAGCGCTTTCACAGGGTCACGCTAACCCCTGCTGTAAACTGTTTACAAGCCAGTTTTGTCCTAGGCTTCTAAGGTAAAACACATACCCATCGGCCACGCTGGTGGGGTTTCTGAAAGCTGATCAAGTGCCAATGGCAGGGGATACAACCACAGCAGAGATGGAGGAGGAGCCAGCTGCAGAGTCGAATCCCAGTAGGAACTGCAGTATCCCTGCTCCTCTCCTGGGCTGCAAAGGGCTCAGAGGAGCAAACAACTGGCTCCACGGCTTCCCCCTGCAGACGCAGCTGAACAAGGTTGCCTCCTCTTGCCTTGGAGAAGTCCAGCACAGCAAACATGCAGATGAGAAAGCTGGGGAAAGGGAAATCCTTTCTGTCCCAAAACAGTGTCAGTGGGAGGAGAGCAGACTCTGATATAAATACTGTCGTCATCTGCCTGCTGCAGTCTGATGGAAAGAGGCAAAAGGCTTGCCCTATTTCACTGCAAACAGGGTTCCCCTCCACTACCAGAAGCCACCCCATTGCTTGGGCTGGAACACTGGAGAGCGGTGAGCAAATCTGCTATTGCTGGTGCACCTGAACATCTCTGAAGTGCCAGAGGGCAGAACTGGTCCAGTCATGGCTCGGCCAACCCCTTTGTGGGACCCGTCAACACCCTTCTCTGTGCGTCAGTTCACCATCTAGAACACCTCCTTACCGAGTGCTAAATGTAACACACATTGGGAAGGGCAAGGGTAGAGTGTTGCTGTAGCCTCCCCTTCCTCATCCATAGCATTTGCCTTTGACATTGCCCCTTAGGTGAAAGGAGATGGAATCCCACACTTGCAGCTGCTCCTCTGGGATGGTTGGGAGGGGATGGAGGGAGTGACTTATGAGCAGCCGTGAAGCAAATGGAGATGCCCACAAGGCACCGGACAAAGGCAGATGAAGAGAGAGCCCCCATCACTGCTTGTACCAAACTCCTTTTGAGATCTAGGGAATCCTCTTCTCAAAAACGCCTGGAGGGTATAAACCTGCCCAGAGCCCAAGTGGCAAAGGACATGGGCCAAACTACCTTCATCTCCCCTACAACACAACTTTGAGCACTAAACAACTCCAGAAATCCTTCAAGCTTTACAGAGCTGCTCTCTGAAACATCCTGGCCCTGGCCAATCTACCATTCCTCCATTTAATCAGTGTTCCCATGTCCACACCTCTCTGCTTCTCTCTGCAGAGATTAGCCTGAAATCTCCAATTCATCTCCAGAAAACTAAGCAAGCTAAGTGAGCTAAGCCCTCAGTTTACAAGATGCCTGGAGGTTCACAGGGTTAGGTGTACTGGAAAGCCAGAAAACTGAATTGAAAGCCCCAGTGCAACGGCCTGAAGGCCCAGGTAGCTCCTGAGTGCCAGGCTGTGGCAGCAGCTTGCAGGGGACTCCAGCGGGACTCCTTAGCACCAGTTTCCATGGCTCTGCTCTGCCCATGTGCTTACATCATGAAACAATTTAATAAGCCCTGTCCCCTTTGACCTCAGAACCCCAAAACAATGCAGGTAGGGAGGAGGCAGTCATTTCTAGGAACTGCCACTGCATGCCAAGGCCCCAGGCAGACATCAGCAACTCCTGGTCAGGATCCCCACATCACACCCCACATCACACCCCACATGCCTACTGCCCGGATTCAGGAACTACCTGCCTAGAAGAAAGAGCTGGCTCAGCCCCAGGCCGACAGCACTGCCAACTGCAGAGGAATGGGGAAGGCTGAGCATCTAGGAGCCAGGGAACCCTGCCAGCAGTCAGCTCCTGCAATGGTACCAAGGTCTCCATTTTGCATAGGAACTAGGAAGAAGACTGGTTCTTTTCATCAGATACCACCTGAGCAGAAGGACTTTTTTTGCTTGTTTCCAGGCTTCAGAACTTGTCCCCCGGTATTTCATGCCCTCCAAGGTGGAAATGCATTGCTGAGTGAGGTTCCGCTTCCCACCATTACGTGCAGGTGTATCCGTGTCATACCAAGAGGGAACAGGGGCTCAGCCAGGCTGCTACAGCCAGTTTTGGCCAGTAGCTCTTGCCACTTGCCTTGCTGGGACAAGAGCAGCACCTTGAATAGCTCCAAGGTACAGTGACCCAAGACATGTCAAGGAGAAGCACCTTCTAACAGGGCAGAGCTTACTTCCCATTTTCTGGTCCCCAAACATCTCCTCTGGCTCCCTGCCAGCCCTGGCCGAGGGACCCTTACAGGTGGGATTCAGCCACCATCCCAGGATGCTCAGCAGCAGTTGGTCCTGATGGAAATGAGGCCATTACACTGCCAGCAGAGCCTTACACAGGTGCTACAGAGGAGCAGGGCCACCCTCCTCTCACAGCTTTCTGAGGACAGGAAGATTGCCCTAGGTCAACCCGTGAATCCCAGCTCCTCACTAAGGTCTTTCCTCATGGCATCAGATGAGATACCAGCAAGCATGGCACTGTCATGAGAGGCTGCAGCTTCCCTCTCCTCCACCAGCTGCTTGATGCAAGTCTGTGATAGCTCCTGGCCACACGAAGCATGCCCTTAGCCTAAACAGTGCAGGTCACGGAGTTGCAGCCTTTCTGCCTTGTCCCTGGGGGTAAGATTATACTGACATCCTAGCTGGCAGCCTCCACGGAGCAATCAGAGCCCAGACGATCTTCTCATAATCCCCGTGAGGCAGGGGACACTGTAGTGGAGGAAAACTCATCTGAGCACTGCCCTTGCTATGCTGCAGGCATCCAAACCGGCTCTCAGTCTGCCATCTCTCAAAACCCACTATGCTTTCTTGAACATAGCACTGCCAGGGCACTTGGGGCAAGAGACCACGACTCAGCCTGGCACAAGCATGTCCTCACACTAAAGAGGTGCCTCACGGTTTGGCTTCACTGGTCACGATCTGTTTGGAGAGCCTGGGCTCATGGCACCAGCTGTTGCTGAAAGGAAGCAGGAACAGAGGAACAGGCACAGAGCAGAGTATTCAGTATTCGTACAGCTTCCCAGTCCTTGAACTTCAGCTTTCCTCTTCCACAATTATTTATATCTAAATATAAATCAGTATATATAGAATAACCATGCACGGGCATGCACGTTGTTCCTAAGCCAAGGAGGCAGAGAGCACCAGGATTATGCAGCACTTGCTCACCGCAGCTCCTCAGCAGCGGAGGACGAGCGATGCGCCAGCTGCTGAGCAGCCCTCCAGCTGCCCTCTGAGCCGTGGGCTCACCGGTGAGGACAGTCCCCCCCGGCAGGACCACACTGCCCTTCCTGCCCTGCCCAGCGGCCCTCTCTGGGCCACCAGCCCCACAGCACAAGCTCCTTGCTGCTCAGTGCCATTGCCTGCTTTCCTCTC